GCTTTCGTTGCAGGACGCATTGCTGTCCCTCTCTAGCAATTTCATCAGTCCAGTTCATCCTTACTTCTACCTTGACCAGAGGTGCAATTTCTAGTCGGGAATGTGAATGTAAATAGTAGGGAGTTATCTACGAAGTAAATGAACAAGAAATGGAAGTTAGGCGGTAAATCCATTTTGTTGGTAGATAAGCCAAAGACCAATGTGGGGTCCCGGCACAAAACCTCCATTGAAATTTCTGCCTCCGCTCCACTTCTCTTCCCACATACAAGTAATATAATTAGCTAGTGAGTTATTGGCTGGGAACTAAAGGGTAGCTCTATCTTTTCATTGCCCACAAACCCACTTTCACCTAATTTACATGTGAACCTGGGCTCTGCAACTTGTTGCCTTGATACCTTCTCGACCCCAGGAATAGATACCTTGTCAGTTTCCGGTGTTGGATTTTGTCCTTTTTCGGAGAATTATAGTTATCATGGCAGCAGAGTTTATCAAGTGTAGAGGGATGATAAGAGAATAGACAAGCGGTGGATGGGAAAGGCCAGCCACACGTTCTAGTGGCGTTCCCTCTCATTTCTACCCTTTGCAGATAAACAGGGACATTTATCGGTTATTATTATGTATGTGGTTTTGGCTCCAACAAAGATGATATATACATTGACGACAGGAGCTGTTGGGGGGTTTTGATTCTTTCATGGGTACGGTTCGGTGAAGGAATGAATGAAGGGAGAAGAAAAGGGTGTTGACCATCTCTCTTCATGCTTGTTAGAGTAGGGCTCCTTGTTGCGGCCTCCGCTGCAGCCGTTGCAGTCAAGCGGGCTAAAAGCCCGAAGCAGCCTCGAGTGAAGCCTTCAGGTATCATTTCCTTTCGTGTTGGAGGTAAAATACGCCTTTCCTATAATGCTGTATTTCTTCCCGCTGGTGCTTAGTGTGAGTTTTGAATCAGGCGATGACGAAATCCGAAAAGAGAATGATGAAGGATCGAGCGTTATCCACTGGGAGGACCATGTATGCTATTACCATAGCCTGTGCAAATGTGCTTTGCCTATGTAAATTCTTCCTTTTTTTACCTACCACTCTCAAAAATCCTACAGGTGGATGGAAAGGAAAAGAAAGAAGAAAAAGAGGAAGTTAAAACAATCAGCAACCTGATAAGCGCAGCCCTCTCCAGAAACTCTGATATTATGCAGTTAGAAGATGAAGACGAGCTGCTACCCGAATTTGAGTCTCTTCTTTCAGGGGAAATTGACTTCCCGCTACCAGATAACAATTTCAACACGAAGCCCATTTCTCAGTATGATATTGAGATGGCAAACAACGCGGCAGAAGTGGAGAGACTTCGGAGCTTGGTGAAGGAACTTGAAGAGCGAGAAGTGAAGCTTGAAGGGGAGTTGCTGGAGTACTACGGTTTAAAAGAGCAGGAAACAGACTTCACCGAGTTGCAGAAGCAGCTAAGGATGAAGACAAAGGAGGTCGACATGCTCAACATTACCATCAACTCACTTCAGGCTGAAAGGAAGAAGCTTCAAGAGGAAGTTGCGGCTGGACTTGCGGCGAGAAAGGAATTAGAGGGAACCAGGAATAAGATTAAGGAGTTGCAAAGGCAAATTCAGCTTGAGGCTGGGCAGACGAAAGGGCAACTTTTATTGTTGAAGCAGCAGGTATCGGTGCTTCAGGCAAAGGAAGAAGAGGCAGCGAGAAAAGATGCTGAGTTAGACAGGAAGCTGAAGGCTGTGAAGGATTTGGAGGTAGAGGTCGTGCAGCTGAGGAGGATGAGCAAGGAGCTGCAACATGAGAAGAGGGAGCTCACTGTGAAGTTGGCTGCAGCAGAGGATAGAGTGAATGAACTCACCACCATGACTGAGGTATGAGACGCTAATAGATGCAATTGTAGCAATGTTTCCACCCTGCGTTTTACTGAGGAGTCATTACCATAGCATTAAGTATTGATCCAACATGAAAGGGAAAAACAAAAGTAAAGCAAAGAGGCGAAAATACTTGGATGTTCTTTATACGACATTCCTGCCGCTAAAGTTTCTATCCAGAAAAGAATATCAGCATTCAGGCAAAATAATACTTGTTACGCCCTTTAACATCATCCTGACAATTTGTTGTTTCTATCTTTCTGAATAGTCTAACAAAAAAATGCAACCAGTTCACATTTCGTGTTCTTAAGCCTTTTGTTTTCTGAACGATATCAATAGCTTTATCTGTCACGAATTCATAAAGTTCAGTGACTTCACAGAACTACTCTCATATAGATTCATATATCCAAAAAGTGTTGGTCCTACGAACTCTGCATACAAGCTTTTTTTTGCCCCCGAGTGAGTTGAATTTGTGGTTCATGTTTTTATTCCAGTGAAGTTGGAAGAACCCCAGAATCAGAGAGTTGATTAGTAATTTTCTCAATCTTAGCATACATAAGCATTCATATGAGATGCATGCCGTGAAAATCTACGTCCAAGTCTCAACATTCAGACTTACAGAAACATGACCAGAAATGTGAACTCACTTTCTCCTACTGAAGTTGAAATTTTCTGAATCATTGTAGTAGTCACAGTAATTTAGTTACATGTATAATTAGCTTTGATCTCTGTAAGGTTCTAGGAGTTCCCTAACTAATCTAATTGTAACCAAATATACCTGCTTAACTCATCATGCAATCTTCAACAGTACAAGACTGATAAAATCTTCTTCAATCGTGCAGACTGAGTTGATTTCCCGAGCAAGGGAAGAGATCAACAACTTGAGACACGCCAATGAAGATCTCACCAAGCAAGTTGAAGGTCTCCAGATGAACAGATTTAGTGAAGTCGAAGAACTTGTCTACCTAAGGTGGGTCAATGCTTGCCTCCGCTACGAGCTTCGGAACTACCAGAACCCAACAGGCAAAATCTCCGCCCGTGAACTCAGCAAAAACCTTAGCCCCAAATCTCAAAAACAAGCAAAGAGACTGATGATGGAATATGCTGACTCTGAGCGTGGCCAAGGCGACACTGACCTCGAAAGCATCCCATCTGCACCCTCATCGCCAGGTGGCAGTGAAGATTTTGACAATGCCTCAATCGAAAGCTATTCTAGTAGATACAGTTCGTTAAGCAAGAAGCCGTCGCTAATTCAAAAGATAAAGAGATGGGGCAAGAGTAAGGATGATGCCAGTGTTCTAGCTTCACCTACTCGTTCTGTTGGCAGTAGTTCTCCAATGAGGACTAGCCAAAGATTAGCAAAGGGACCATTAGAAGCTCTAATGCTTCGTAATGCAGCCGATTACAATGCAATCACAACCTTTGGCAGGGGTGAGAATGATCAAAACGAGTTATTGGATGATCCAAATCTCCCGAGAATTAAGACGAGAGTTGCTTCAAGCGATTCGTTGAACTCTGTGGCTGATTCGTTTCAGCTCATGTCAAAATCTGTTGAGGGAGTGGCGAATGAGAAGTATCCAGCATTCAAAGACAGGCACAAGCTAGCATTAGAACGAGAGAAAGCAATTAAACAGAAAGCAGAGCAAGCGCGAGTTGAGAGGTTTGGTGAGAGTACGATGAAGAGAGACCGGGAGAAATCTGTCGCGTTGCCACCTAAGCTTGCACAATTAAAAGAGAAGACGACTATAGCCACCAGTGGTGCAGTCTCAGATGAACAATCTGGAAACAGTGAGAACGGAAAGGTTGGTGGGCAAGTTGTAAGCAAAATGAGATTAGCTGAAATCGAGAAGCGAGCTCCGAGAGTGCCAAGACCGCCACCTAGACCATCAGATGCACTAAGTTCAAATGATGGTAAGAATAATGCTACTTTGAGCGGTATACCACCTCCACCACCGCCTCCTGGTGGACCTCCACCTCCTCCGCCGCCAGGGGGGCCACCAAGACCGCCACCTCCTCCAGGAAATTTGTCCAAAGGCTCAGGTGGTGGAAGTGGAGTTCATCGGGCTCCTGAGCTTGTTGAGCTCTATCAGTCTCTGATGAAGCGTGAATCAAAGAAGGATCCAGCATCATTAGCTTCCGTAGCGTCTGGGGCCATCGCAGATGCCAGGAGCAATATGATTGGGGAGATTGCAAACAAATCAACATTCATGTTAGCTGTGAGTAAAGTTTCATTTCAGTATTTTAGACCCTATTAATGGTTTTAAGTAGAAGTCGTTCTAGAATCCTAATAATTCACCCAAGTACTCGTGAAATAGATCGATGAGAGAAAGAAAGATGTTTATATGTAAACTATTGTTTTTCAGTTGTGTTTTATATGTGTAGGATTTATGTTTTGAGATCTGATTCAGGTTAAAGCTGATGTGGAGACTCAAGGTGATTTTGTCCAATCCTTGGCCATGGAAGTCAGGGCAGCTTCTTTTAGCAGGATTGAAGACCTTGTTTCTTTTGTGAATTGGTTGGATGAAGAACTCTCTTTCTTGGTAATCCTTTTATCTTTAATTTTTTAGTTGTTTAACTTATTTTTTCCAGAACTATAATCACTGTAAGACATTTGTGTTTCTCAACTCTCCGGTCATTTTCTGTTATGAACTTGCCAATTTCAGTACCTGTCTTCTTCTAGCTGCAAATAAAGTATTTCATGTAATTGAATTTGCAAATATAGTCCTTATTTCCACATTGAGGATTTCATGCTGATTTTCGTAGGTTGACGAGCGAGCTGTTCTGAAACACTTCGATTGGCCAGAAAGCAAGGCTGATGCTCTAAGAGAAGCAGCTTTTGAGTATCAAGATCTGGTGAAGCTAGATATGCGAGTATCATCCTTTGTTGATGATCCAAAACTTCCTTGTGAGTCTGCTCTGAAGAAAATGTACTCGTTGCTCGAGAAGTAAGTGCCACAAAAGAACATAGAACGTTCGTTCAATAACTTATGTGCCAGAATATGTTATAATCTTATCCTATAATCTTAATCTCTAGAATGGAACAAAGTGTTTATGCACTCTTACGTACAAGAGATATGGCTATGTCACGATACAGAGAATTCGGTATCCCAGTTGATTGGTTGTCAGATTCGGGTATAGTTGGTAAGGTATGTTAAAATTTCTAAACTACCTGTGTATAATAACTGAAATTTGATATATAAATTCTAGAATTAGTGAATATAGTATCAGTGACATTTTTTACACTAGAAATATGTTTATGAAAAGACTCCGTCTGCTATGTACCGTTGCAGATTAAACTGTCCTCTGTGCAACTTGCAAGAAAGTACATGAAGAGGGTTTCTACAGAACTTGATGCCTTGGCCGGCACTGATAAAGAACCAAACCGGGAATTTTTGCTCCTTCAAGGGGTGAGGTTTGCCTTCCGAGTTCATCAGGTACTCTATGTTTCATTTTTGTGTATGAGAGTTTAAAGTTCATCACAGAATGGTATACTGATACATAGTAGTTCACATGCATAGCTAGTTTCTTTCTCACTGATAAAATGAGTCTAGTTTATAGGGTTAATTGCGTATAGACCCATGAACGCTCATGAACTTACTACCCTCTAGTTTTACTTTTTCAGATAGAACCCCGAGTGAAATTTTTCTGATTCCTTTACCCCAAGGGATTCTATTTGTCAAAAAGCAATTATCTCTTTCTCTAAAGGTAAAATAATTATTAAAAAAATGTCACTCAAGGTGTCTTATCTTTAGAAATAAAACAAGAAGGATGGTAAGTTCCAAACAACAGTATTACAGGTGGTCTGTATGCAACTAACTGTAATTTATATATAGCGCTTCTTTTTCTTTTTCCAGCGTCACCCTTATTGAACTTCTTGGTGTATAAGTAATGCTTTTAACAGTCGAAATTTACTTTCACACGAAGTTTGTAAGCTAAAAGATTACCTAATTGGATGTTACTGTGTTCAGTTTGCTGGAGGGTTTGATGCGGAGAGCATGCGAGCTTTTGAAGAACTGAGAAGCCGTGCCAACTCACGAACGCAATCGACGTCAGCTGAGGCCGAGAAAAATGAAGCATGATTGTTTCCTTGTGTTCGTGACCATCATGTTTATACAGGAGAATATTTACAATTTTACATATACCTTATCAATGTATGTGTACAAAAGCCTTTTACGTGGAGAATTATGAGATATATACCTTTTAATGTGTATGTACGAATATCTATTACGAGGGAAAGTTACAAGACATGTACCCTTGTGTTTCCTCGAGACGGAATAAATATATATGAATGTACATTTGTACTTTTGCAAAAGGACACATGATGGGTAATTGTAGATAATGCCACTGGTTCTCTTCATTAATAAAAGACAGTTGGTGTTAAATGGTATCGAAATCTATTAAAATCCTATAGAAGCCGAGCCCAAATGATCTAGAGAGGAAGCCACAATCCCTTTCCGTGACAATTAGCTGAAGGTGTTGTTGATGAAAGAGACCAAACAGGGGGTTAACTGTGGAGTTACCAATGGATTAGGGTTCCTAGGTCTTCATTAGATAGTTGGTTGATGAGGCGAGAATCCATTCCTACATATAAACCGTACGTGATGGGATTGGCACTGGGATCTCTAGTGATTCCTCCAACGATCAAGTCAGTCAAGTGATTGAGTGAAGAAGTAGAGTTCAACGGTGTTCAGTAGTAAGAAAATTACTTACCATGTGCAGCAGACAATGCTTCCATTTATAGCTGGTCCAGAGAGGCAGTTGCATAATTTTGGCCAAGTCCAAGCAGGCGGCTCAGTTGGCAGATACTACACAGGTGTCGGCTACAGAGGGGATGAGTTACCTATGTGTTTAATGTGATGGTGACGAGGAATGCATGGTGCTAATGAGATCCGATGAGTTATAAAGACTTTCAATGCTGGAGTAATGATGACTTTGATCGCGCATTCAATGTGATGGTGATCGACTGTCGGTGTGGGATTCGAGAACAAACCATCTCTCGACTCGGCTCTATGAGAGGGTCGACAAATGATGCCATTTGTCTCGGTCTTGTGAGCGGGCCGATAAGTGCCGTATTTTTATTCGGCCATCTTGGATTCAAAAGTTCTCAACCTGGCCTTAACGATGTAAAGAAGTAGGATCAACTCAAGTGATGGCTCCGAGTAAGTATCCCTTTTGACACGGCCCTAGGAAGGGTGGTGTTGATGTTGCTCAAGTTGTCCTGCCTAGGGCAAAGTCGATCTGATGCTTAGCTAGAATGGACATGTGTCGGCTCCTGGAGAGGATTAATACTTAGTCATTTCTGTGTAGTAACATTGACCCCTTTCACTTGGACATTAGCCCCTTTCACTTAAATTCGGGTGGCCAAGTACGAGTGAAATGACCTATCGACTATTGGGATTTTGAGGTGCATTTAAGAGGGATCATTGAGGGGTAGCATTTGACATGACGTTCTAACATCATGGGAGATCATGCGTCGCTATCGCCTCATTCTTCAACTCGGAATGCGTGCCAATTAGAGGGTAGCACGTTGGTTCTCGAGCGGTCCTTTAAATTTTGGGATTGATCTCAGCCATCTGTCAACGACTAGGTCGACCGTTGTGATCATGCTACGTGTCGGCCTCCACGCCTATATATATCTCTGTTTTCAAAAGGGTTAACTTTATTTTCAGAACCCTAGAATTCTCAGACGTTCGAGCGATTTCTAACCATCTTTTCAGCATCTTATGGTGTTATATTCTACAAATAGCTAAGCGTTCACCCTCAATGAGGAGCCAACACGTGTCCTACCGTAAGTACCTAATCAGCCATACTACGGGAAGGACGATTCGAATGACTTTACGATTCGACCTCCCTAAATCAAGGTCGGGCCAACAACCTTTGAGGCCAACTAAAAGGCAATACTTACCAACCCACACCATTCGAATCAACTGAAAGTACCCTAGAGGGGTAGGGGGTGAATAGGATAATTGCTAACCTAATCCGATATTAATGCCAAATTAAAGCTTATAATGCAATATCCTAACAATGAGGTATACAATGAGATATGCAAGGATATATATAACGAAACAAGAAGCGAATAAACTATGAGACAATATCCTTACAAGGAGATGTACAATAAATTATATGCAAGGATAAACAAGGGTGTGCAATATGACAATAGGCGATAAACAATGAGCACAAGATATAAGAGAAATATATGCCAATGTCAAACACAAACACAAGCAAATGATCATGGAGTTTGGTCACCCTCGACCTACGTCTCTGCTCCTCACTCTCGAGGAGAATCTCCACTATCTCAAGAAACAACTACACAATCAGTTTTCAATGCTCACCGATAAACGTTTACAACTCACACAATTGTCAATACACAATACACTCCTCTAAGTATTGGCCTATCCCGTGTTACATTCCTTAAGTGCTCGGAATTACTACCTCTCCTAGGATTTACAACCGATGCCACTCCTCTTGGAATTGACCCTGTCTCTCACCAACCACTTCTCTAAGTGTCCTTGTGTATTACAATGTGATCTCAACTATTAAGTGCAAATACAATGGTTTATTCTCTAACAAGAATGAGAACGAAGTTCTAAGCTCTCTCTCATAAATACAACCCCATAACCCAAATGTATACAATATGTGAAATACTAAAGCTCAATGGTTGTGTGTGTAAGCAATGAATACAATGAAATATAATGCAAATCAATTTAGCATAAATATATAAGAAACAAAATGATAAATAGCTAGAAGATGAGTTAAGAAAACTTCTCTAACAGATGTAGAAATTTGAGGTAGAGATCCCCAAATACGTTGTAGCAATTCTTCTCTTGTAAAACACAAATGAAACAGTAGAAATTTGAGGTAGAGATCCCCAAATACGTTGTAGCAATTCTTCTCTTGTAAAACACAAATGAAACACTTTTTATTTATCTTTGAAACTCTTAAAAACGTTGTAGCAATTCTTCTCTTGTAAAACACAAATGAAACACTTTTTATTTATCTTTGAAACTCTTAAAAACTTGTAAAACTTGTTCTAAACTTTCATAAATGAAAGACACCGGATTTAAGTTCTGAGATGAGTTTATCTTCTTTTATTATTGTTCCTATATTAGATTTCGGGTTTGGTATTTAGGGATTTACAATTTGAGATACAATCTTCTTTTATTATTGTTCCTATATTAGATTTCGGGTTTGGTATTTAGGGATTTACAATTTGAGATACAAGGTATATACATGAGGGTTTCCTTGTTTGAATTATTTCGCTCGACGTACCTATGCTCGTGTTGTAATTTTCTAAGTACTAAAACCCTCTTATCATTAGGGATCTACAATTTAAGCTAGAAGGTATATACATGAGGGTTTCCTTATTTGTATTATTTCGCTCGACGTACTTAAGCTCATGTTGTAAGTTCCTAAATAGGATCGGTGATTATATATATATATATATATATATTAACTGTATTTTTTGTATACAACGAGCCCTTTCCCTTGGGGTTGGTTGTGATGTTGCTCGCTAGCGCTTTGACGCTCGTTGTCCCTCCTCCTTTCAGGTAACGAGCCAGGAGCCCAGAGAGTCGCAGGTTGATGGCGATGCACTTTAGCTTTAGCTATCTGTTTTAGTTATATTCTTCTTTTGAGCTTCATTGTAGACTTCTATTTAGACATTTGAGGATTTTATTTCTAGAAGTTGTAAAGGCTGTGTGCCTTATTTTCTCTTATTCGGATATTTTGTATTTGAGACTTGTTGAGAACTCCGGTTCATTTATTTCAGACATTGACTTGTACTTCGGTATGTTAGCTGATGAAATATTAATTTAATCTCTATTATTTCATCAGTTGATTCTTGTATTATCTTTTACTTGCTTTTGTACCTATACCTGTTATTGACTCTACTAGAGAGATAGTAATTATGATTGTGAAACATGTTATTACATGGTGTGGTGTATGGCAGGTTTGACATTCTTGGTTTTACCTTGGACTACAGCCTTGTGTGAACCCAAGGGCGTCACAAATGGTTTGTTCTCTAACAAGAATGAGAACAAAGTTCTAAGCTCACTCTCATAGATATGTATTGAGGACTATATATATAGTCTCTCAACATATCAGCCCAAACTAGAGGAAAGCACAAAAAATGAGGCAAAACCCATAAAAGAAAAAAATAGGAAAAACTAGCCGTTATTGAAACTGATACAATATCGGTCGACTGATGGTTATGTGTCGGTCGACTGAAAGATGACTATCGGTCGACTGATACATGTGTATCGGTTGACTGATACATGTGTATCGGTCGACTGATACATGTGTATCGGTCGACTGATGATCCTAAGAAACCAAACTTTGAAATCACTTTTCTGGTCGGTCGACTGGTGGTCTCACGTCGGTCAACCGATTTGCTATTGTCGGTCAACTGATGGAGTATTGTTGGTCGACCGATTGACAGATATCTAGATACTGAATTTTTCCAGAAGCATGAATTTGTAAAATCAATAAAAAATAGCAAATCAAATCTAAAAATAGTAAAATTTTGAAAAATATTTATAAACATGAAAGCAAACATGTTGGAGAATAAATATTTGAAACTCATTACCCATTTGTGAAAACTTGTCATTTTGCAAAATTGTCAAAAAATACGAGTTCGTAAATACTTGATTTTGACACAATGAACATATGCAAGTTTGGAAACAAATTTGAATGGATTAATGGGCTTACAAACAAGTATAAAACATTGTTGTTAAGTCAATAATCTAAAAGCTTGATGTTTTCTCAAAAAACGTGTGCGTGTATGAATTGAGATGTAAGTATAACGCACAAAGTATAAACTTTGACTATTTTATCCAAGCTAATGGTCTTCGATTGAGCTCGATCTTGGTAGGATGAAGCACAATAGATAATCTTTGACTTAAATGCACAAATGACTTCATTCTGGTTTCCTCCAACCTCCAAAGGAGGTCGTCGTTAAGCTTAATTCCAACCAACTGCCAACAGAGGATCTTTGTGTAGAATACCTAATAAGCAAATAAATACTTGATAAATATTGTTAGGAATTATTTGTTAATCATCAAAACTAGAATAGATAGTAGGCTCATAAACATGAGACCTAACATAGACCCCACTCCTTTTCACTTCACAAGGCCGACCCGACAACCTTTGCGGCTAACTAAAAAGTCGATACTTATTGGCCCACTCGTAGAAACGAGATGAGAGGTGTCACTTCTCGACCCTCTTGTGAAGTCGATTCGGAAGGCGGTGTATCCTTGGACCCCTCGCCGACAGTCGATTGCCATCATATTAAATGAACGATCAGAGTCATCATTT